GCTGTCGTCGCACAAATAAAATTAAATGCCAGCCATAAATAGAATGTCAGTTTGCGGAATTTCAGTGCTGAAATATGGCAGCTGACCACGATGTGGCAGGTTCCCCCAGCAAGCCTTTAAGCCCCGAAAGCTTGTCCTGCCAGGCTCTGAATTTTATAAACAGTTGAGCCATCAAATCTAATGACAGTCATCTGAAACAATAAGGCGCCTTGGCTCAGTCCTGCCGAACAGTTAATTCTATTAAAATGTCAGTCGACGACAGCTAGCAGAACATTCCGCCGCCATCTGTTGGCTGTTGGCCTAGTGTCGTCTTCATTTGCATACTTGAAAGGCACAGAGAGAAGAATTCTTAGTTAACAGAACCCAAAGTGGACTTATATGTCCACTGTCCACAAATGATGTCTCTTATTTTGTTTCAAGTGGATGGTTGTTCGAAGAAGTCCTTCCAAGCGGATACTTATCGGGTAGGCTTGTCCTTTTTCAGGAATTCCTTCTTGAAACTCCTCGCCCGCTATCTACGATTGCGGCTCACGCAAATGTTCATTGCCCAAATTATACGAAATAGTTTAAAGATGTAAATTTATAAATGTTTCCCAGGACGGCACGTGGACAAGTTTAACGCCCACTCTTTCGCCCTGACGTACTGTCCCAGTTTGAAGTCCCAATTGGGTTGCTTTGGTAAACTTGACGGAGAAACCCAATTTTCGGGCACCCACATGACTTTAAATTGCGTGTGTTTGGTTTTCTGCTGGTGTTCAGGTGCTCTCCGTCTCTACTATTCTGGGTGAGCATCAAAAGCTGTTCGGCTTGACACAACTGGGTCGGTCTTCAGCCTTTCCGCCGGCAAACTGGTTCAAGGAGACAAACAATTGCTTCGCGGCAGCGTCGCCACCGCAAAAATGTCGTTCAAAATGGAACAACAACTCAGTTAACGGGGCCTACACACACTCACACACACACACATACATATCCACATCCATACATACGCACACACACAGTGAATCGACGACACGACTGTTGAAATAGATTTTGCTCAGCGCTCACGGGGCGTATGAGTGACAACATTCAATGGAACGATTTTTTAATGAGTTTGGAAAATTGGTAAGCCCACGAGGGGCTGGGTTGGGGTTGCTTGATACCCTGGAAACGTCTGTCTTGTTAAATTCTATTACCTGACTCAAGAGTAGACACTTTTCAAGTAACTTTTGGAATACCCCTTTCTGGCCCATGTCACTTTTGTACTTTCTTCCAAAGTAAGCTCAAAATTTATTCGGCCATAAACAGGGAAAAGTTTTTTTTCCCATTTTCGCATTGTTGTTGAATGGTTGTCGGTCACGCCCCCGCCGCCGTTAACTGGGCCAGTCACATCCGAAATACAAAATCAAAAAGAGAAAGTAGGAACACAGAACTGGATCCGAAATGACAACGAACACGCAACAGGGCCTTGTTGCAATGGTATCCTTGCCTGCCTGCTTCCTTGCTGGCCGTGTTTAATGAGGTTTGTTGTTTGCATTTTTTATGAAGCTTTCGCCCGACATTGCGTGCTTTTAGCCCTTTTGTTTCGATATTGAAAAGCAATTAAGCCGGCTTTAAGCTGGCGGGAATAGAAGGCGGCAAAACTTAAAGGCGCATAACTAAGGGATTTCCCAACGAGGGATTTTCAACCTTTCGAGTGTGGGCCGCCTTAAGACCTAGCAACCTCCAAAAAAATGCGCAACAAATTCGAAAATGTTACAGCAAATTTGGGATTATGTTAGGCGAATGCTGTTTGCTCATCTTGTCAGCTGTTGCCTTGTGTTTGCTTACAATCAATCAATTACCAGTGGCACGTGCACTCGTCTGGCTCTGATTTCGCAAATAAATATTTCGCATTTCCATGGGCCAAATACCCAAATGCAAATGTCTAACCGAAAACCGAACGAAAACATCAGCATAAATCAGTGGATATTGCGTTTGTAGTCTAAGGTTCCGACTGCCGTTGAATAATTTAGTGAAAATGCCATGCTCCACGTGGGCACGCCAAAAAATAATAATAAAGAGATCGGATTCAGAAACTGGTAACGCCTTCAGTCTGGTGGCGATAACAACTGTTTCACTTAACTAATGAACCACTTCAAACGAATACCGCGTACTTTCAGGACTTTTCTAATCTTTTAAGGAAAACGAACACAAATCCCCAGGTCATTTCTCACAAATAGAGGCGCTAAAGCCGACCCTCGCCCACCAGGAGGGCGAAAGTTAGAGCCATTCGATAATCCAAAAGGGGGCGCGGGCCATAATTAAAACATTTATCAACTTGTTGACAAATGGCTCGAATTTGTTTGTTCGGCGAGGTGGAAAAATCCATAGCGACTTCCCGTTTTTGTTTTGCGCACTTTCTTTAAGGATGTTTTCATCAAATTATTGATAGGAAGTGCGTGTGATGTAACCTGGGCCATGGAAACTCTCCCATCAATCATAGAGCAGCGTACTTTAGCTCTCTCTGACATGACAAAAACGCTGCCTCAATTGCCACATGTTGCGAGGGCGTACCGGACCTCAGCTGGCAATAGGCTTCCACTAACGACGCGGTATAAAATGGCAGAGCCAACACTGCGTATGAGTAATAGAACTTGTTACACGAACAAATGGGAAAGCACTCCACCAGGAGTTGTTGGCCATTTCCCACAATAAAATTTCAATCGAATCAGCCAGTGGGCGCTAATGAACCTTTGATGACACGGTGGAATACAGTCCCATATGGAATCCATCAGGGGTCTGTTATGCAATTGCTTGGCAAAAATGTTCACACATCGGGCTGGCATAAATTAGCTTGTAATTATAGAGGCCCTGCTGGGGGCTTCCTTTCCCCACGACTCCCATCCAACAATTATGCTAATTTTTTGGTTTTTCCTCCGCCAGCTGACGCGCATTTTAGGAATTGTTAAATAGCCGAAAATGTTCATAGCCAAGGCCGTGGGCTCTGGCCTTGATGGACGCTTAATTCAATGAAATTTGTAGCAATTGCAGTTGAAATTTCAGGACCTGGTGCTGGACCGGCCCTTTCTGATTTATAATTAATGCTGACGCTGATGATGATGAAATATTTTCAGCTGGCGAGTGCGTGTGAAAGATTTTTAATTAAAATTACTGCCAAGGGTGCTCTAAACTAGCCCAAGTCCACTGGGGGCTCTAATTTTATTGGAAAAGTTTCCGAATCAGTAGTTTTAATTATTCTCAAAACATTTCATTCCGCCATATTTAATTCGAAAGCTACAAAACTTTTCGGCTACAATAGGGCTCGATTATCTTCCTCAAGAGCGTTCAACAAGTTAACAAAAACACAACGACCCCAAACTGACCCAAATTCCCCAGAAACTTTGCCAACCATAAACTGTCCACTGGTCAGTATGAGAGGGTTAGGGCTACAGTGCGAGAAACATTACAAATTTTAAACATAGAGAGCTTTCTGAGCTGGAAGTTCTTTTCACAGTGTACTTCTATGTGTCCTCAGGTTGGCGAAACCCCTTTGATTAGTTTTCAGTTTATACCCGCTTATCCTTCCACGCCTCGGCATCCTGGCAAGAGCTGCAAATTGAGTTTACTTGCATTTTCAGCATCTGCCATCTAGCAGTGGACAGGGAATTGGCCGGGCCAGAAGAGGAGTCCTCTTGTTGGGTAACCATATCATATACCATTCATACAGTTTCAATGGCATTTAGCTGGCGCTCGCATGAATCATGAAAAGATGGACTCTATTGATTTAGGGCCCTTGCTTTTGTTTCATTTCATCGATTTGGCCAGCAAATTGTAAATACAATTTGGGATTTACAGATGGCCCTGAATGTGATTTAAAGCAAATACCAATGTTTTGGTTTATAGAATTACAGGAGTGCTCCACTGGTTGCTAATTGCATTTCGGTATATAGAGTTTCCCAAAAGTACGAAACTAGAAGCAAATATTTGTAGATGTCCTTGAGCATATATTTGGTAATAAAACCTGCGTAAGCATTTTAATTCGTCCTAATAGGTACCATAGTTAATAATAATATTAGCAGTTAATCATACAATATATTTCAATTGGTTTTTCCGGTTTCATCATTTGCATAATTGAGTTCGGGAGGTTTACATTCAACAATTTCATCCCAATTATATGCTAATTTGTGGACACTCCCATCAAGGGAATAAAAATCACTGATGCAATCAAACCAAATCAATTCAGCCGCAATTTCAAATTAAATGGTTACGAAACTGCGCATTTTTAGAATCAAAAATTAAAGTAATTTTACTGCCCGTCCTGTTTCGGCCAATTAAAATAAAGAAATTATGCAGGACGGCGTCTGGCGAGGAACTTAATGCGCATCTGTGTCGCTGGAAGGACTCGCCCACTCCCGAGTCTGGACAAAGGCCCTAGGGGCTGTTGCATGAGTAATGAGTGCTTGGAATTTTGAAATTTTGAATTTATCTGCCCCGGCCGTGACATCTCAATCGATTCGTCGCACTTCCGGTCTTCACAATTGAAGCCATACATCATGCGGGCCATTTTCATCTACCAAATGGGTCATCAGCGTGGCCTCCTTTATGGGCTTCTCGAGTGCGTGTCCGCCCACCAGTTTGAAGTGTGGGGCTGTGACAAATTCGCTTCGCCCTCTTGATTAAAATTACAATTAATCAACGCCCTTGACGCTGCCATTTGCTTTTCACTCACTTTTTACTGTCATTTGTACGTTTATTGTACTTGTCCCAGTCGGTGCTCGCGTGAAATTGTGCGCGAAAGATACCCAGTGCTTGACGTTTAAGTGCCAATCACGAATGGCTTTTGCTGCTTTCAGAGCTGTAACCTCCGAAAATGAAATTTTACGAGAATTTCAGAGTCAGAACAATTTAAAATATTTTCTCAGAATTAAAAAATTGATCGAATCACTACTACTTACTATCAGCGCCTTGGGTTTTAGTCCAAATTATACAAAAACGTTAGTAATCGAATAAATATTTATTTCAATAGAAAAGAAATTATATCTCTTACCAACTGAATCGATCGCAATGTAAAAAGCTTAAAATTATAGTTCAACTATAACTAAGTCGTTTCTTTTAGGTAGACGCGCTTCGCACTTACACAACTAGAGTGAATCTTAGTCAATGTTATCACTTATCAGTGGCCATATCAAGCTGGCTTTCCCTCAAGTTTTCCAGCAGAGCGAGGCCAGAGCAGATGGGGCTCGAATCCGCTGAAGCAACGCTGGCGGAAAAGTTGTGGGGCAGCTTCGGTTCTTTCGTTAATTGGTCTGTACAGGTAGTCTTATTCTAGGGGTTGTAATTTACAGGTGTCACTAAGTCTACAAATAGGTTACACTCTCACAGCCAGAGAGCGTCGATAGCGTCCTCCACATCCTCGTCGAGCTTCACTTCCGACTGTGCCGGCTGCTGACCGCTGACTAGGATAGTCTTGGCCTTGACCTCGTCGGAGGTGCTGAGCAGGACCATTAGCAGGACACTGCTGCGCCGGCCGAGCTCTACGTCCTGGTCAGTGCTGTTTGTATCGGATTCCCTTGTCTTCTGGTTCCTCAGCTTCCGCAGCCACTCGGTGGTGGGCCAAATGCACTTTCCGCTCCCGCTGCGTCGCCTCCTGGCTTGGTGGCTGCCGCTCCCGGAGAAGCCCTCGCCCTTCTTCTTCGGGCCGTGCAACATTTCAACCAGGCTGATGTCGTTAGCAGCCTGGGCACATCCATCAACCTCAGTTGCCACTGTCACAGCAGCCGTGGATGTTGCTGCTGCTGCAGCTGCTGCTGTTGATGTTGCTGCTGCGGCCGACACTGTCGCCCGGCCGCTGCTCTCCTGCTAGACATTCGTCACTTGCGTCGTCAGGCCCAGATCGATGGCCAGGCTCTTGCTGACGGCGTCTGTGTGCAACAGCCGCTGCCTCCCATAGCCGCCTATCCCGTTTCCGCTGCCTCCGCCGCGCGCCTCTCCGTCCTGCTGGGACAGCGGCAGCCACTTGTCCAGCCAGCGCGGCCGGAAGAGCAGCGCGAACGTGCTTCGGAACTGGCGGCTCATCGAGCAGTAGAGTATGAAGTTGATGCTCGAGTTAATAAGTGCCAAGATGTCCATTAGGTCACCTGCAACGGAACATTGAAGCGCAATAAGTACAGGAAAAGGTCAGAGTTCAAGGACGTCGTGTGTAGTCTGTGGGAAGGGAAAGGGTAAGGCCTAATTCTTATTGGAAAATGTCCATCTTGTCATAACAGTTCAGCCGAAATACATAGAACATGTCAAGGCCAGCAACGAAAACACTGAAGGCTCGAATTTGCGGTGCAATTATAGGAGTCAACGGTGCGTATGATTGATGGCCTGGCTAGCTGGGACGAACGAGCCATAAATTCAAGTCAATTATCATACCCAATAAAGCAATTACTAGGGGGAGGTGAGGGGTTGGTGTTGGAATACTCACTCAGCTTTAGGTAGCACTGGATGAAGAAGGCGTCGCCCAGCACGGCGTTGAGGAGGCCCATGATGCCCTGCGGGAACTCGGTGATTAGGAAGAGCAGCAGCACCGCCAGCAGCATCCTAGTAGTGCGGTCCGTTTGCTTCTCCTTCTCGAGAAGCTTGCTGCTCTTGGGCTGACTTGGCGTGACCACCTTGCCGTTGACTATCGGCTGCATGTCGCTGGCCGCGTGGCAGGCCAGGATCTTCCGCCTCCGCTTGGCCTCCAGAAGGGCTCCGATCAGGCGCACTGACAGGACAGTCAGGGCGAAGCAGGGGATCAACTTGATGAGGACACTGTAGATCAGGAAGGTGGCGTGCTTCAGCTGGCGGTCGTGCAGGGCCAGGGCGCTGTGGTAGAGCCTGTAGACGGTGACGTTCCGCTCACCCAGAGACGCCCCCGCACTGAGGGTTCCCCTGGTGGTGGTTGTCAATGTGGTCGGGGGCAGGAGTGTGGTGGTCAGGCTAAGCAAACTAACTGCCGTTCCGTTGGCCGCCATCGAGACACTGGGCACTGCCCAAGGACCATCCGGCGTCGTGCTGGACACTAACTGCACCGTCATGTCCTCGTCCCGGTTGTAGTCCAGGATGTACTGGCTGAGTGGCACCGATCGGATCGTCTTGCCACTCGCGTCCAGAGTCTCCAGAAACTTGGCAATGGCGGTAACCAGGTAAAGCCAAGGAGACACCACCAACACACATACCACGTACGCCGTGGCAATGGTGATAAGGGTGGTGCGCATTCCGCACCATATCCGGTTCCGCTGGGGGTAGCTCACGGCGATGTAGCGCCACACGGCAAGGGTCACCGTCAGCCAGATGGAGATGGTGTGCAGGACCTGCGGGAACACCGAGTGGAACTTGATGAAGCACGCCCAGCTGTAGCTCAGCTGCTCCTCCCGGGGCAGACGGGCGCTGAGTATGTAGTCGTGGACCGTGTAGGGGATGTATTCCAGCATGACTGCCAGGTCGGCCACCGCCAGACCCGTGAGGATGGCGTTGGTGGGGGAACGCATCTCCCGGCGGGTCAGAACTATGATGTTCAGGGTGTTGGCAATGGTTCCCAGAATGCAGACGATGAGCGAGAAGTAGCCGTGGAAGTACTTGTAGCTGTTGGGAAAGAGATGGAGCTGAGTTACACGTACATTTAGCCTCTTGACCCCCATATTCATTGGCCTTTGACACCTTGGCCGGAGGCAATTACACACATGATTTGATTATGCACGCCCCGGCAGACAGGGCGGCTGGCGAATCATTATGCAAATTCCATTTAAAAAAGTAATTAATATGCAGACATCCCTGCGGAACACCCCACCCCACTCACTTTGTGTGGAAATCATCGATCGTCGTGCCGCAATAATGCGGCTGCGACATATTCGTGACCATGCTGTCAATGATAAGCTGGCTGGCTGGATGGATGGCGTCCTGGTCGGCTGTCCAGCGGGCCGGACTCCCTCGTGGTCCTGAATCGACTTCAGCAGCCAGCTGCCAACTCAACACCGCCTCATTAATAATGCCTTTTCGGAGCTCCTGTGTTTAAATATTCCGGGTGCGTGGCGGAAATTTCAAGCGAGCGCGCTCCTGCAAAGTAAATAAACAAACGCGTTAGCTGAATTAAGAGTACGTGCTCAAAACAATTTGATTTTGTCACATTTTCGCAGATCAAATATCCAAAATAGCTTCCCATAGCATGGCACATGCAAACGATGGTGGTATGTCATGGAGTTCCAGGTCAAAGTTCAGAACGGGCGGAAATAGGAACAGCTAGAGAAATGTCATGACCATACTCGACCATGGTCAGCAACGGGGGAAAACCCCGCCAGCTATGTCGGCAATCAATATGCCCGAGAGCCGGGCCAAACAAGATAGTTGACTCATTTTCCCAGGACAGCTGAATGCTAACAGGCGAGAGACCGTTCTTTGTGGTCGTAATTCCATCAGACATGTGCAGAGATACCAGAATTCTGGGAAACACAGATGCAAGGACCAACGCTGCTGAACTTTAAAGATGCGAAGGGAACTAAGTTGCAACTGCAAACTTAGTTTGGGGACTAAATCTAGGGCCTGTTGACCGAAATTGGCCGAATGATTGTCAGCCACAATACAATTTACTGCCCAGAATTGATCTCCTTTTCCATTCGTACTTTTCGTGTTTTGTTTGTGATTTCGAGCAGAAAATCTTGTTTTTGGCTCTGTAAGATGGCCAAAATGCCTTCACAGTGATTATGTCTTCACAAAGAGCTCTCCCCTGACCGACCCAGCTTATGCCGTGTGACTTGGCTAATTCCTGGACCTGGTGGCTTCTCCCTCCAGCCATGCAGAATGCGCTGAATTGCCAAAGTTTTTCTAAATGCTCACCATGATACCGATAAATAATACTTGTCATGAATGTTGAATTATCGGCAAAGTAACTGAATATTGTGTTCCACTTTCCCTCAATTTATCCCAAATATCAGGCTAATTCCGGCATGTGGAGCTTCATAATTAAATTCTGTGTTGTTGTATTATTTCGGACATGGCCGACAAAGAATTACAGGCCAAGCCCGGAAAGTTTGGCTATAAGCAAATGCGAGACAGAGGCTGATGTAACTAATGTAACTAATACGCACCGTATGCCGCACATTACGGCTGTTCTGGGAAAGGAAGTGCAGAAACCTGGGGCTAATGAAATAAATAGGAAACAAGTTAGGAATGACAAAGTCCATCCACCCCAGAGCCCTCACAATAGTTTCAATATATTCTCAAAACAAGAATGAAAAAATATCTTCGGGCGGAGGCGAAGTGATATACCCATGCTGCTAAGATTAGGAATTACCGCAAATATCGCATACAGTCGGCCAACCCTTATTAGTATTTTAAATAGGTGACAAAATATTTTTTTAAATATCACGAAATTATCAATATTTTCAAAATACTGAGACAAAATACAAAATCAAAATTTGTTTTCAATATTTCGTCCTGGGATCCTTTGAAAATGGAAAATGGTTTTTCCCTCTAGGGTCCACAGAGATGGCCATATCTTCCCTAATCCTCATCCGATTTTCAAGCGGAGTACCTTAAACGATTTCTGTATCGATTCTCCACCATTCTGCATCAAAATCCTGACACAAAATATTTTTCAGATTTTTTGTCCATTTTTCCTGATGGGATCTCTCGGAAATGGGGTTTTTCCCTATAGGGCCCCCTGCGATGGCTATATCTTCCCCAATTCTTATCTGATTGTCAAGCGGAGTACCTCAAACGATTTCTGGATCGATTCTCCACCATTCTGCATCAAAATCCTGACACAAAATATTTTTCAGATTTTTTGTCCATTTTTCCTGATGGGATCCCTCGGAAATGGGGTTTTTCCCTCTAGGGTCCACAGAGATGGCCATATCTTCCCTAATCCTCATCCGATTTTCAAGCGGAGTACCTTAAACGATTTCTGTATCGATTCTCCACCATTCTGCATCAAAATCCTGACACAAAATATTTTTTAGATTTTTTGTCCATTTTTCCTGATGGGATCCCTCGGAAATGGGGTTTTTCCCTATAGGGCCCCCTGCGATGGCTATATCTTCCCCAATTCTTATCTGATTGTCAAGCGGAGTACCTCAAACGATTTCTGGATCGATTCTCCACCATTCTGCATCAAAATCCTGACACAAAATATTTTTCAGATTTTTTGTCCATTTTTCCTGATGGGATCCCTTGAAAATGGGGTTTTCTCCTATTGGGTCCACAGGGATGGCTCTATCGTCCCCGATTCTTATCCGATTCTCAAGCGAAGTACCTTAAACGATTTCTAGATCGATTCTCTACCATTCTGCATCAAACCCCGGAGACAAAATATATTTTATTACAAAATAGAAACAGACGGACAGACAGACATGCTTATATCATCATGAGATACATTTTGAACTGTAGCTTCTCAGAACAAACATGCCTTTGTACAATGACCATCGCTTACAGCAATGTCAAGTGCCTAGAGTGTCTCTTTAAATTGTGTCGAGTCACGTAGATGCGAGGACTTGTTGGCGATGACAGAAACAGCTGAATATGTCGTCCTGCCTGGCCGAGGGGAAGGTGAACGAGGGCCGGCTGGCCCATCTAAGTGCCTGACGTTGGCAGCTGACTGGCAGGACGACCAGAGAGAGGTCGAAGTCGGGGGACAACACTTGCCGCCTATTAGACAACGCGACACAACACACAACAGCCATTTAAACGATCTAATGAAGCCATCGCGACCAGTGCCGCTGCATTATTATCTGATGATTATAGCCTCCCTCTCGGTCCGGCGTAATGGCCTCACATAATCAGACCTATCATGCCCTCCCCGTGGCCGTGTTTTAATTAAAGCCCGCCGCCACACCCCACGGAAATTGAAGTTTGATTGTGACCGGCCATCGGAGGAGCACGTTGTTGTAATGGCATAATCGGATTATCTGCAGGCGTTAATTTGTTTAAAGTAGAATTGGATTGTGAGGCGATTATGGAGTTAGAGGAACAGTAACTGTGTCGTTGGACCCACAATTAGAGGTCGTGTTCAAGCACTTTGCTGCCCTTCAGGGACGGCATAATGCCCTACTACCCCCCATCCAGCTATCAGCTCTGTCGAAGCCATTTTCCGGCCAAGTACAATTACATCTTGGGCAGCTCCTCGAGGCAGTACAAAAGCAGGCCAAAGCCAACGAGTACACCAAATGTCCTTTTTTGGCTCTGGGCCATACAATAAGCATATAGTGCTAGTGCTCCCCCTGCTCCGGGCATCATGTGAGCTGGAAAGCAGCTTTTCCCGGCACATTTCACTGCCCGGAAGTGCTTCTCGCCCCCTAAGAGCCCTCAACCTGGTGTGGTCGGATCCGCTGGAAATTTATGAAACGAAGAGCTTTAGCATACATTATCCGCATGCCGGGGAGTCACTGGGGATGGGAAATTACGCCGGGAGGTAATGCGCCGAGGAACATAACAGCCACGTGCTACTGACCGGGTTCACCTAACTTTAAGGTTTCGGGTCGGAAATCCGGTTTCGCGATGCCACACGCACTCATGCCGCCCCTGCTAGGGCTTATGACGAGCCCGGGTAGGAAGCACATATTTGCTGGAATCAAACATTTGACTTTCTACTCGACGGGGAAAAGGCGTGTGCTTTTAAAGAGGAATTTGCTTTTAAAAATTTCAATAGGAAATGGTAATGGGAAAGTAAAAATACTGCAACTTGAGATGTCTAAAAATATTGATATTAAATATAGAAAGAAGTAAGCTGAGCACAAATATATGAAAGTAGGGCATGTGGAGTATTATGTTGGGCAATATTTTTATACCCTTGCAGAGGGTATTATAATTTTGGTCAAAAGTGTGCAACGCAGTAAAGGAGACATCTCCGACCCTATAAAGTATATATATTCTTGATCAGGATCACCTCCTGAGTTGATATGAGCATGTCCGTCTGTCCGTCTGTCCGTCTGTCTGTCTGTCCGTTTCTACGCGAACTAGTCTCTCAGTTTTAAAGCTATCGTCTTGAAACTTTGCACTCATCCTTCTTTCCTTTGCACGCAGTATATAAGTCGGAACGGCCCGGATCGGTCGACTATATCCTATAGCTGCCATATAACTGATTGATCGGAAATGGTATAACTTTGGTGTTTTTAAAGTTAGAGAGTTCAAATTTTAGGTTAGAGCTTTTTTTGGCAACATAATACGACATGCCAAATTTCATAAGGATCGACCGACTATATCCTATAGCTGCCATATAACTGAACGATCGAAAATGACCCAACTTTCGTGTTTTTGATGATAGAAAGCTGGCACTTGGTACACATTCTATTTTTGGTCAGTTAATCCGATCTACCAAATTTCATAACGATCGGTTGACTATATCTTATAGCTGACATATAACTGTACGATCGGAAATGGTTTTTGGTAGAAATACCAACTTTGGTATTTTTGAAGATAGAAGCTTGAGACTTTTTTTAGATTTTGTATTGTAATAAATTGGATTATATATTCATATTCCCATAAGGATCGGCCAACTATATCCGATGTTGGCGATATATATCCGGTTTTAGCTGCAAGGGTATATCAACTTCGGCTCCGCCCGAAGTTAGCTTTGCTTTCTTGTTTAGATTTTGTATTGTAATAAATTGGATTATATATTCATATTTCCATAAGGATCGGCCAACTATATCCGATGTTTGCGATATATATCCGGTTTAAACTGCAAGGGTATATAAACTTCGGCTCCGCCCGAAGTTAGCTTTCCTTTCTTGTTTTATTTTCCTTTATTGAGAAACTAATTTGTAGACTGTAAAAGCCAACTATACGAATTTGATTGAACACTTGTCAGGAACAACACTACGTGTGTGAAATATTCGCAAACTGGCAATCAAAATCTCTACGAGTCATAAACAACATGTCAGGGAATTTTTCATTGAATTTTTTCCTTTTTTTTAAGTGGCCAGCGATCGAAACACAATCAAAAATAAAACGCAATATGACTTGCGGTTTGTTCAAGAGCCAGAGAAATCGAAAAAAAATTGAAGCTGAATCGGGTTTTTTCATTTTTCCACAGCTGTGCTGACACAGAGCCGGGCTAGGAT